ATGAAACCCATGGTGCATTTTATTGTGATTTGATATTCTCCCGTTGAATAATTTTGATTGGTTGTTTTGAGTCACTTTTAGGTAAAATATTGAACATTATAAATGTGTCGCACAATCCCTTGATACAACGGAAATTCCGCTATATATAATTGAGCATATTTGATGAATAGCAATAAAAAATCACGATTTAGCGAGGAGTCATTGCTTAAAATGATAAACTTTTCTTCATTTTTGCCAGAACACTTGATACTGATGGTGAGCCTAGTGGCTGGACACTAGCAGTTTCAGTTTCAGTTTCTACAACCATGCACTATCGTGCGCCGGTATTGGTTGCTTTCTTTTGACTGCCCATTTGAATGAACCCTAGCAGCACCCGTCCATCGAACCCTAATGCATATGCATTGCCAGAAGTTCGCCTCCCTGTATTTCACTGTACGAAAAAAAGTGAGCTGAGTAGATCTTTTACCAGCAGCGGTGTTCGTCTCGTGTGCCCTATTCCACCATCCCTGTTCATCGTCAAAATATTGGAGCACGCACTTTTTATATTGAATGGACAGTTGGAGAAAAGCTGAACGATTTGATGCACGCTGACGACATGATTTGTCTGTTCGAATATATGGTGGACGCGCAAGTTGCACTTGACGGACTAATTAGTTTTGTAACTCCAACTAATATGCGCTTTGCATCTTCAACGTACAAATTATTATTGCTAGACCAAGTGTCTTCTACCCTTACTCTGAAGCTCGATGTTCAGGAATTGCCCCCATCAGAATCGGAAGTACTTAGCTGCATTCAATCATCAAAGAGAGGAAAGGTTGCGGGACCTGATGGGCTTCTCCTTATTCTCTTCAAGGTGGGCGGTGATTCTCTTATCGACCCAATTACTAGCTCACTTTGCAGCACTTGGACGGAGGAGCTTGTTCCTTTGTCCTGGGGTGAATCGTTGATCGTCCCTATTTTCAAGAAGGGATCACGCAACGACTTCACTAACCAGCGTGGGATTAGTTTAGTTCCGATAATCACAAAAGTGTTGACTTCTGTGATACTTCGTCGCCTGACACCCTTAAGGGAAAGGAATATCCACGAACGGCAGGCGGGATTCCGACCAGGTCGCGGTTTTATCGACCAAATCTTCACTCTGCGTCAAGTCCTCGAACTGCATCACACTCATCGTCGGCCAACAATCGCGGTGTTCCTTGACGTGAAAAGAGCCTTCGATTCAGTTGACCATGAAGCTCTTCTGAGGTCGCTGCTCCGCAATGGAATGCGGCGGAAGTATGTAAACCTATTGCGGTTGTTGTACCTGCATACTTCTGGTAGCGTAAGTCTACAGTGAGGTGAGTAAATCATTCGAAACCAGGAGCGGTGTTCGTCAAGGGTGCTCTATTTCGCCATTCCTGTTCAATTTCGTCGTAGACGAAGTACTTAGTGGTCTCCAAAACGTAAATATTGAATATGCAGCTGGAGAAAAGCTGTGTTACTTAGGGTATGCCGATGACATCGTATGCTTGTTCAAGTCTATGGAGGATGCGCAATGCGCTCTTGACAGACTAGCAAGTTCTGTATCTCCTTTCGGGATATGCTTTGCGCATTCAAAGTGCAAAGTGATGCTACAAGACTGGGCTGATGCTTGGTGGTCAAGAATTAGTTGTAGTGGAGTGTTTCACCTACTTAGGTAGCTGCGTTTCAAATGACGGTAGCATAGCCAATGAAGTAACTGCCCGCATTTCCAAAGCTCGAGCAGCTTACGCAGGTTTGAAACACCTTTGGTTTAGACGCGATGTTTCGTTGAAACTGCGCCAGTGTGCGGCCAGTTCTGCTCTGTGGTTGCGAGACCCTAAATTTGTGCGTGGAAGTTATTCGTTATCTAAAGGTGTTCGTCTGCCTATGTTTACGTAGTTTGGCGCGGATTGGATGGAGCGAGCTTGTAAGCAACTCTGAAGTGGGGCGTCGCGTATTTGGTAGTGGTTCGATGGAGAATTCGTTGTCCCATCGATTTCAGATCAGTAAGGTTCCTTGGTTAGGGCACTTTATTGCACGTATCCAGCTATTGTCTGCCACACCGCGCATTATTTATAGTTGCCGCTCCGATCTACAGAAAACCATGCGGAGATCAACAGCTGGTATATACTAGGTGTCTCTCCTCTTCTAGGCTGGGGTCCAAAAGACTCCATAACTGGTTGGTTGAGGGATATGGGAGCAAACCGACAACAGTGTTATTTTGATCAGTTGGGTATGCCATAGAAGATTACTTTCTTTCCTCTTCCCACAAATAAGCTCACTCCCTGTCCACCTCATGCAATCTCACTAGCCATGTTTGTATCGTGAGTTTGGCAGCAATCAATGAATTTCACTTTCCTGTATTTCACTCTAGGATGATGATGATGATGATGACGACTAAAATGCCCTAATATGTTTCAAGTGGGAAAATTAGCGGCTGTCTCCACTACTAGATTTTTTACCACGTCCATATCGCCATCTCGTCCTGGTGGGATTCGTGGTTATCATGGCTGAATAAATCCCTTCACGGCTGGAGGGCTTATCGGTGTTGGATATTTTCATGGTGTGTACTACTTGGCCAGGTTTCTCGGACTGCCTTCAAGGGCATTGAGCAAAGACTAGTGAGTGCAATCTAGAGCTGTCTCTGGTCGAATGAACAACCGAGTGACAACCAGAGAGGGCCGGTAGACTTATTGTAGTCACAGACGTTCATCGGTTCATCGTGGTGCAGACAGCTCTTCAGTACGGGAAGTTATTCATTTATAACATTGAAGAAAATTCGCCGGGTAACACATGAGGGTGAGGGATTTATTAACGAAAATGGCAACGGTTGATATTGCTGCTCAAAGCAGAGTCGATAGCTAATTTGTGTCGAACAAATGCCACCGTTGGTAAGTTTTGGTAATCACTGTCTGCAGATTATGAAGAAAATCTGGTCGTTGAAAATCTGCGACAAACGTCCGATTTTCTTTGCGTTGCGGTCTCAAATTTTATGGAATTGTTTCACAGTCCCTAAACTGTAAGCGAAACAACTCGTAGCGTAAGCATATTTATAACAAAGAAACCTACTTGTGATTTGATAGTGGGTTCATTACTGCCAGGCTATTCAAGTAAAAGCAAGTGATTTTCTTGAAAATTCTTGACCGAATCTCCTGATCGGCCAAATCCTAACCTACGAGAAAGTAGAACGGTTTGCGAAATCCGCGGTTCCTTCCGGGACGATGTGTGTAGTCAGTCGGATCAGACTTCTTTCAAACTTGGTCGAGGATGTTAAGTGCATTCCTCTGCTATCACTATTAGGGTTTTCTGAAGCAGCTGTACCTCATCTACTGGACTCATCATGGATGAAGTATCGGCACGCATACAGAAGGCTCTGTTGGCATCCATCACGACGAGACTGCACCTTGACCTGGTGTGATGGCTTGCGTGCCTCGATGACCCTGCGAGCTATACAGCCTTAGATCTAATCATGCCTGAAAGATCAACGGGTAGAAGCCAGGCGAAGCTCAGTCTCACAAAGCCAGATGCTTGGGCAACTCCTGGCTTCCGTTGTCTATCCACACCCACCCCTGGAGAGGCCACTCCAGCAAATAAACACAGTGAGGGGCAGTTTACCGGTCGAAAAACCCCCGCTAGATGGACGTAGGAGCGGGGTACCTGGGGCTTCCTCTTGACGGTGGGAAAAGTCTTCGCACTTCACTGGACAGCCCGCAGCCAATAAGGTGCTGTCCCGTCCACGTTNCAGCCTTAGATCTAATCATGCCTGAAAGATCAACGGGTAGAAGCCAGGCGAAGCTCAGTCTCACAAAGCCAGATGCTTGGGCAACTCCTGGCTTCCGTTGTCTATCCACACCCACCCCTGGAGAGGCCACTCCAGCAAATAAACACAGTGAGGGGCAGTTTACCGGTCGAAAAACCCCCGCTAGATGGACGTAGGAGCGGGGTACCTGGGGCTTCCTCTTGACGGTGGGAAAAGTCTTCGCACTTCACTGGACAGCCCGCAGCCAATAAGGTGCTGTCCCGTCCACGTTCCGCTTGTCTCATTGGGTGTATGAGGCTAAGGGCCGATCCCGAAAAGCGGACCCATAGTCAACGCACCAGCGAACAACACAATTGATCGAAATTCAAAGACCTTGCGTGACAGATCTCTAGAAGCTGCCACACGGATGCTTCGGCCATGCTCCCGCGGTGGATCTATGTCCCACTACATTGTGGGTCAGACTTTTGAGTCGAAAACTCCGGTTAGGGTTCCCACAGAAAAACCCCTTCGTCGGTGTGGGCTATCGTGAAGTATGTCGTGCTTCAAAGTGAAGTGGCCACTTCACAAGCACCAGTGATGTCATGTCGGCTGATGATGAAAAGTTAGCAAACAAGTTGTCAAGCTCGGCGAGCAGGCGAAATAGAATTCAGTTCACCCGAGCTACGCGGACCGATTTTCAATACTTTATCAACAATGTTCTGTTCACCCTATAGGAAACTCGGGGCTTTTATTCTCCAATCTGACCTCAGAAATCATACAAAGAAATAAAAGTTGTCATAATTGCGTGAAGTGAATGGGTAAAAATGTTGTCATCTCCATGAATGACTGTTTTTTGTTTTCTCCCCTGTTCTGTCTCCGTAATTCTCCTTCAACTCACGGTGGTTTTGGCGCCATATCTGTAAAGATTGATGTTAAACAACAACAATAATAATGATAATAACATTCACCGAAATACGCACAGTAAACTTTTATTCCATAATTAGGTGTGTCAGGGCTTTTGTGCATATCTAGTTGTGTTCAAATAAAAGTTTGCACTTTAGTTTGAGTTGCTATAATAAATGCAAGCGACTGTCATTATTATTGCAGCTGAATTAAAGCTGATTTTCATCACATCCAAGCTGTCTTATTCGGTACGCTTGAATGCTATGCCTATTCTACTCCAAGTTTCGGTTTATTCACATCAAAACCAGCACCTGTTGGTAGTATATTTTGAAGTTGTCTTATTTCCTTTTACCGGAAGATGGAAGCTGTGGAATCGTACTTTCTGCAACATGGAACTAAATCTGGACACGGAAAAACAAGCGGTCGTACCTTATCCAATCTGTGCACTGGCGGTAATCGTCAATTACCTGATCCGCTGGTTTTTGAGCAGTTTGTTGAGAAGTGGAAACCCAAACATTCGGCTACCACAAATCATCTGCTGGCCGAGATACAAAAGAAACTTTTCCCCTTATGGCCCTTCTACCTTCAGTGAGTAGTGTATATTTGTTCGTATGGACCATATGCTACCCGGATAATAACTGAAATAATAATAAAAAATTAAAATAAAATAAAATAATAACTGAAACGGATAATAACTTTGACTGATTTCCTAACGTTTTCAGCAATGATCAACTGAAACCTAACTTTCGTTTGCTTTTTTATGATATTTGGTGTTATTTTCGTCATTTTCTCGATCGTCCCGTTCTCCATATCCGATAGGTATACGAACAGTTTTTACTTACCCGTCTGTTCTTTGTGTTTTGAAGCATCTGGTGCACTTGAGATGGACTGTTTTTATTGCTTGGTGGTGAATTTCTGGTGATTTTCAGTCAACCACTTTCTATATTGTATTTGGCATGATTGAGTTTGTTATCGTAATCGTGAAAATGGGGTGGTATTGGAAAAATGGGGTGCGTTATCTCATTGTCGTATTTCAGGGGAGAACAAAGGAGAGCCGACTGCTATAGTGTATTATCTGTTTCCGAGACAACATTATGTTCATCGTGTGCGGCGGGAGCAAAGTTTCGTATGCAGACCGTACCAATTAAACACTACACCACAGTATTCTCTGTGACTGTTTATCCTCGGACCACGGTTAGTTAGTTTTCGATCGCGGCTAAAAGCCGTGCTATCAATTCATTCACAGATTAGCACAAAGACACGCTCCAACAAAAAGGCTCTACTTTTATTCGATCGGAAAGAATGTTCAAAAATGGCTGAATGACCGATGGTGGAAATCAATCCAGACAAGGCAAGTTGATAAAGGTCACAAAGACATCAGAGCAGAATAAGGGTTAGCTGAAAACTGAATTAATCAAGTCGTGTGTTTGTCCGCGCGCGTGCTTATACCATATACTTCAATAAATCGTGGGAAAACCAGCCAGATATCGGCAATGCAGGTATATGTTGTCAAGTCAAGAGATCGCTTTATATACCCCAAGGAATGAATATTCAGCAAACCACATAACCACAATATCAACAACATCAAAAATGGGAAATGTAACACAGCAATTAAAACATGGAAACAGACAACAAAATCACAAACCAAAACCATGGTGTTTATCATCGGTTCATAGAATGGCATTTTGCGCAGCGTTCATGCAAGTAGTTCATGTTTTGTGAGAAATCTGGCAAGATACGTGACAATGAAGCTCCTATAAACCTTAGTACGCGCTAAATGTTTCCGTGGTGTAAGACAGAGACTTGAGGGATCGGGAACTCAGTTTGTGTTACTTTTTAAACATCGAGGGAAGATAACAGGGACTCGCAAAGCCAGTGGAGCAAAACGCAAGAAATAAGAAAACGCCGCATGAGATGATTAGGGAAAGAAAGTGGTTTATGACAAAATGTAAGTCTCCTTACTATAGCAGCCCAGTATTTCATTTGTTATTTTCAACAAGAATTCTACCTGAGATTAAATTCAGGAATCGTAAATTGTATACTGTCTTTTATATCTTCCAGGGAAGGTTTCAATATCCTGCTGCACGGTGTTGGTTCCAAAAGACAGGTCTTGGATGCGTTCAAAGAACAGGTCCTGTCCAATTGCAATTCGATCGTCATTCCGGGTTACGATAACACAGTGAACATACGTCAGGTAATTTAGTTTCAAAGTATTGAACATACTTCGTTTAGTCTTTGACGCATTTGGTATCGTTACTNATCGTTACTTCGCCTTTAATTCGGTTTGACTTCCCATAAGTAATCAGTCGAAGTATAGCGGCGTTTTTCGCTAGCTGGGCTTTTCATACCGTTACGATTCGCTCTTCACATGGATGCAGTTTACTTGTAGTTAATCGTAACCGGAGTAAAGACTACCCCCGAAAATATCCGACCATTTATATTGGTCTGCATCTTTTGAGCCTTCGAATTTCACCGTTTCCGGATTAGGATTCTTTACTTACTCTGCATTTCCTTGATGTATTTGACACGGCAATATTTTAAGGGAAAAATAGTCTTTCGATAATGCTTCTGATTATTTTGCGAGACTCGGAATTTCTTCTTACATCCAAATATGAAAAAAAGTCGACCGATTTTTCTCAAAGCTGCAGTTTCAGTTTTTCAGTTTGAACAACCATTAACCACGCATATTCGTGCGCCGGTTTTGGTCGCTGTCTTTAGGATGCCCATTTGAATGAAGAATAGGAGAATAAAGGAAACTTGAAAGTGGAGTCGAAAAGAAAATG